TCGGAGTGTGCGTTAGATGAGGTCTCATGTGATTAATAACGGGATACAGGAACAACTGGACATGAAACTAAATGAACTGAAAAATTTAATAAACAAGTTAATGAAATAATTATTTGGCAGCTTGAAGGCTTATTTTTTGTTTTTTCCTTTTAACATTATAATAAGATTCATCTGAATGTGTAACCATAGATACTGTTACTCTATGCTGTATCTGCCCACTTTCAAGTATAGCAGAGGATGGAGGCTGTTGGTGGTGATACCTCTATTCTCAGTTATATACACTCCTCTATATCTAGCTTTACTGTATTTATTTATTATAGATATCCATGACTTGCAACAAGTCTGGACTGAGCTAAAAGAGTTTCCTCTGCGCAATTGGAGAGAATTTGGATTGACAGCTGGCCTCTATTACACTACACTTAGTAACATAGAAGCTAATAGCACAAAAGTTGAGGATCATTTCATGGAGTGTTTGTCTTGCTGGCTGAAGAGAAAGGATAATGTTAATAAACAGGGAATGCCAACATGGAGGAGGTTAGAAAAGATATTAGAGGAACTTGGAGAACAAGCATTGGCAGATAGAGTCAGAGGTACGGGTATATAAATGGATTTGGTTTAGCTATAAGTTTTTATTATCAATTTTAGGTTTGTCTAGTGATGCTCATGAAGAGCAGCAAGTTGAGCCTGTTACTACTTCTGGTCACAGTATTTATCGTAAGTAGTCTACATTATTGTCATGTTCACTATTACTGTATTTTGTTTATAGTTCCTGAATATTTAGAGGACGAGTATTTTCGAATGACAACGGAATTTGCAAATATACTAAAACGTTTTGTTATTCAGATTTTCAAAGAGAAGGAGAAGCTTAAAGATGTAAAGATGTCTTTGGTTGGCATTAGGCCGTCAAGGAGGAAAGAAATCAATGAAGTAGATGATGAAACTGAGCTAATACAAGTTCTTCGAAATTACTGTTCTTTGAGAAAATTTCCAATTCTAACAACTTTAGCAAGGGATATGAAGATGAGTGATATTACAAAGGAGTTAAATCAGTTTGAAGAGAAACGGAAAAGATTATACGAGGAGATTCTAGCAAAGGATTTTGCAAAAAGTGCCATTGAATATTGTGGTACAACTGGTAGTAGAGAGGTTAGACTTTTATCTGTATAATAGCAACACTTACATTTTATTATCCACAGGTGACATTTGAAGTATTGTGGCCGATTGACAGAACAACTCTAGATGATTTTGAGCAATTTTTAGCTGCTGCCTTTCGCAGTCAAGATATTAATATGCTCATTCACTTGAAGACTGTCCATAGTAGTCGACTGACGTTTGTTTGTGTGATACCACATTGGCTAGTGGAGGAGATGAAGGATTATATTGTGAAGAATGGTGACCTCTTTGAGTCTAAAGGAGTAGTTGAAATTACTGTTGATGGAGCTATTGTATTCAGTGTGGTAAGTGATGGTGTATTAGTATTTGATATATTAATTATGAGATTTGTAATAGAAACATTCATTGGAGCCTCATCAGTTGCCATCAGGTAGGTGCATTAATCATGCATGGTTTTTCAAGAACCTAATTTTTATCACGCAACTTGAAATAGATTCCACCCCACAACTGAAGAAAAAAAGCAATG